TACTTATGTAATGTTCCTTCAAAATTATGCATTAGAAATTTCTCAACGAATTTTGAGGAAGACTCTTCTGTCAGAAAGACTTCAGGGCTTTACTGTTCATGGACATTCATAACTGTGAAGAGTTCAACCAGATCCTTTACTGATTTAACTGAGATGGCCCTGCTTAAAATGATCATGATGAGCCTCTAAAATTTCTAATTTCATTTACATCCCACATACACACTTTTGATGAAAATGCTAATTTAAATTTAAGATGTAGAAAAAGTCTGAATATAGCAAAAGCTTTTTCCTTTGATAAAATAAAACAAAATAAAACAGATGCAAGCATGATAAAAAAAATTTTTACACATTTTTGTAAATGTCCACAGAAAGTTGTTACTCTTCCAGTTCTTAAAAAATGTGTTTTTGACATTTATTATAATAATCCATTATCACTGCATTTGAAATACTATAGTCACTAGTGATCTGTTAATAAAACACATTTTCAAACCATGGAATATACATTTTTGACTAGACAGTTATATTTAGAAAATCATAAACAACTGTTTGATATCTACAAATCCTGTTGTCTCTAACAGGCTAAACAAAGATCATATCATGAATTTATATAAATATTTAGAGTGGAGCACACAAATCAGTCCTGAAATAATATATCACACTAAACAAACTATTATGCATTCCATTTTGTGAGGAATAAAGGTTAATAATCTAATGCCAGCAATACTGTACTAGGCATAAATAGGGGTAGAGAACGATCTGCTAAAGGAACAACTATAAAATAAAATGATCCTGTCAGTCTTCACAGGTACACAATCTTTTGATAACAATAAAGTGTCCAGATTATTCAAAAAGAAAATATTAACAGCTCTGAGTTTCCACTTATGGGATGACAAATGCAATAATGAAAGTGAAATATAGTGCTGTTAGATCAATAACATTCCTTGAACAATTTATACATTGTTTTCTGCTTTTTAATGGCATAGTAGGGCCATATTTTCTTGTCCTGCTCTTTACAGTTGCTTATTTGAGTAACCGTATAGGTACTTGTAAAATGTAAGAATTTTCCTCTATAACAGGAGGATTAAAGATTAATTCACACTGCCAACTGTACACAATCTAATTGGATTTATAATATTGTAGGGCTGCAAAAATTCCACATTAGCTAAGTGATTTTTGAATTGCAATACCTAGCAGAGTCATGAAAGACTGGATTTAGGTATATAGTGCATTACACTTCAAATGTTATCTTTCTGAAATCATTAAGCCTGTGTTTGTATAATGACTTTAGTTACATTCATACTTCTTAAGCTACTGAAGCAAGGACTTCAATCGACTAAGTAGTAAGCAGAATCACTGAGACAGATTTGTGTTGTGCACTAAATGCAAGATTTTTATTCTTATGTTGCATTTTAAGTTACTGACTTTTTGTAGAGTCTAGACACAGTAAGGTGTTGCTATTTTTAAGCAGGAATGAAAGCATCTACATTTTCAGAACCTAGAATGGACACCTACATTAGGTAGCTCTGTGGCAAGCTTGTAGTCATGAAGACCAGCTACAAAATATCATTGTATCAAACATTTTTCTTGTGTTGTTTCATGTAGGATTGAAGCAGAAGAATCTATGTAACAAGGCAAACAGGTGAGAGAATTCACCTGCATTTTTAATACATCTTCCACATTAGTGTTGGCTGTATTTTACCATTTCCTGAATCTCACTATTGCACATAAAATTAATCTAATCAAGACTATTGCATTAAATCAGTAAAATCTATATGGACCCTTAAAATACTTTCACTAATGTGCACACACACACACACACACACACACACACACACGTACGTATGTATGTAACTAACTGCTGACAAGGCAGACACTAAAGGCTCCTAAAATAGAGATAGTAATTTTATGAATTGTAGCACACAGTACACACCACTTCTAATGCATGTACAGAAAAAGCTGTGTTAACTGGCACCTTACAAACCGGCATGGCCCAGGGGAAAGCAGCCTGCGCTGCCAAGTCCCCATGGCTCGGGGCATAGCAGACTGTGCGGGTCCCCCCTCCCTGCATCACCAGGAGGGGCAGTGATGCAGTGGGAGGGGCGGTGACATCCCAGACGCAGCGGGACAGGCATTAAGTTAGTTATCTGGCATATTTTATCTGGCACCCTCCATTCCCTGTGGGTGCCAGATAACAAAGCTTTTACTATACATGGAGAGTAAGTCAAATAATCCAACAACCATATTTCCATTTTTAATTAAGTAATACATCTCTAACATTCCATAGAAAAAAAAGGTTATCCTGGCAAATTAGAGCAGGAAAAAGTGTGTCCCATAGGAAACCATGGATCCTCAAGTTTGTTAACCCATCTATGTATGCCATTGTTTGTGCACATACTTCCCCTTCACTAGGAGAGAAATTCCAAGTCATCAGAACTCACCTAGGCTGCCCCTGTGTCTCGACCATCTTTGTGCATCCACTGCAGAGCATGAAGTTTAGACCAAGCCCAACACCAACAGTCAATGTTTTTCCCTTATAACATTTTGATATTAACATAGTGGGGGCAGGGATATGAAGATGGGTCATAGAATTTGTGAGTAGCAAAATAAAATTACTATAAAAGTAACTTTTTCTTTTAGTTCTTTGCTCTTCCCCCTAGCACCAGTTATTGTTCTCTTCTCAGCAATATCTCTCACAGACTTGTTTACCTCCTAGCAATTTAGTGATGGTACAGGAATGGTCCTAAAACTTATCAAGCCTGGATGTCTGTATCATAGTAGAGTGCTATATAAATGTGCCTATTAAAGACTAATTCATTGTTTTACAATTGCTTACAGTTGGCAGATATTTTTGGAGAAGTGACTACTAGAATGAGCAGTGACTGTAGATGGTATTATATTAGTTACACCTTGGTGGTTTGATTACAGGTCACTATCCAACTGATGAGTTCCTCCTCCTCCTCCTAATAGTTGCCCGAGCCTTGAGTCTCCCCACAACACTACAAGTATTCTGTGGTATAGTCTGAATAGTCCACTTCTAGTTAAATAGAGTGTCCTAAAAACATCTAGTTAACCAGAGGCAATGTGTAGGGGGGCACATGGGAGTGCACATGCACCCCCCTGAGAGCACTGGTGTACCCTCTCACAGCAGCATTCCTTACAAAGGTGGGGGGGGGGCAGGTAGGAGTGCTAGTGTCCCCCCTATGAGTGCTGGCCAGGGAGTGGGGCCACCAGGAGAAGTGCTGCTGGCACTTCCGGGCATACCCCTGGCCCTTCCAGGCGAGCCACTGGCACTTCTGGGCAGCGTTCCCTCTTAGAGCCAGCTTAGAGGGAATGTTGCTTCTGGGTTGACACACACAACTGGTTGTGAGGGGGACCCTCCCCCAGTCACTGACTGGCTGCTGGGGGGGGGGGACAAGTGCCCCCCCTGACTCAGGAAGCACCAGTCACCCATGTAGTGGACATAGCTTTCTGTCCCCTTTTTCATAAGAGATTTGGAAAGAATACTGGAAGGAGGTTGAGGGCCAAGAAACTGGGTGCTAAAGCACAGTATTTCTATGTAAGCTTCAATACTTCCAATAAGATTCAGTCCTATAATTTATTTTGGTGGTGCCAAGGTACCTTAGCCAACACTTAAAATCTGCTCTGAAAGTCTTTGTAATCACCACTGGACTTCAGTGCCAGTATGTGTGCTGTTAGTGATGGCATGGTTGCATCAATACCAAGTTGTTATAAAGTAATCTTTAGGATTGAGCAGTGAGTATGGACTTGGGATCTGGTGAGAAACACCAACATGGGCCATAGAAATTTTTTCTAAGGCTTAGGAATTAGAAGTTGAGCAGTCTTGAGAAAGACTTTTTTGTCTCTTTCCCTCTTCTCTTTCTTCCTTGACAGCTGAATTTGAGACAGTGGGTCCTTAGGAACATACAACTAGAAGAAGCCTCCTGAGCCCCACGGTTCAGTCCCTATAGTCCCAGGCAATCATTAACCCAAGGAATACCTATAATCACCACCACAAACTCTCACACTTAATTACATGGCAAAAATATCTGAAGAGTATTTAAAACTATGTCATAGGCAAGTGAAAGCAGGGCAGTGCTAATGTAGTGACAGGGAAATAGCTTATTAATATATCTTCAGAAGACCAAGACAAGAACCAAACCCCATACAAAGAAAATAAAAACAAAAATGAACAAAAAGCTCCATGTCACTCTGTATTCTCAGAGGCATGTATATGGGAGATATAGGAGCAGTACATCATGAAGCAAATTCCAGTGCTCCCGACAGGAGAATCAGGCTGAGAGCAGGGGTGCACTGATTTTTATTAAGAGATCTTAGTAGGAATTCCCTCACCTCTAGGATTCTTTTAGAGAAAGTTGTGACATTTGCAAGTCAAACTGGTGTGTTCACATCCCATCTGGTATGTCCATTGTTTAATGGCGTTATAATCTTGAATGAAAAAAGGCTGTTAAGATCTGGGAATTAGTGCTGAGAGAGTGGCTGAAATCAGTGTTGAGAATAATTCGAGTAAACAAAAGCAATATTTTCACAAAAAGAAAAAGAGCCTCACAATAAAACTTAAAACAAGCATAATCCCAAGTAAGTGCCTATTTATCAAAATCTCTATAAACTATCTATACGTGAGGTGGAGGAAGAAGATAAAAACAGACATTGTAGGCTGATAGTGCGGCCACACCTTCTCTGTCCTCAGGTGGAGGCATAAGGACGCACAAAGTAAAAGGACAGCCCTAAAACAGACACTGCTGACCAAAACACTCTTGCAAATGCACATATGGAGGAATATTTGGAACTCACTAAGAAATAGCTGAAAAAAATATAATTTTAAACATCCAATATTCAAGTTACTCATATATATATATATATATATATATATATATAAAAGCAATAAGATGAATGTGTACCAAAAAAAAGAGAAAAAAAAAGGAAGCAGCACAAATTGTAAGCATGAAAAGCAAAAGATGCAAAATCATGGTAGTACTTACCACTGTGAAATTCATAACCTTCAATATCCAGATTGTCATTGCTAAGTTAACAATCATGGTAACCAACAGCAGAAGGACAAAGAAGTATAAGCACCTCTTTCGCCATCCATAAATGCCTACTGGATAAAACTGAGGATTTTCAGTCCTTGGCAGGTTGTTCTGCTGTGTTGCTAGTATATACTGCTCTCGTGTCATCTGGAAAAATAATACATAAGTAAAAATGAAAAGTCTATATTATAGATTTAATTTTATGTAGAATATCTAGGGGCAGAGCTGTAGCAGCAAGTTACTACAAGATGAAGTAGGATGCAGTAATGGCCTATCTACAGGTTTTTATCCCACATTTACTGAGGCCTAAGCTACCTCATATTCACTGTTGGGTAAGAGCTTGCACATGGGTAGTAACCAGAGTACCTAATATCCATGTATAACCTACCTAGCTTTGCAATAACTTCTATGTATAATAGCACTGTATTTTATGGTTAAAGTACTACTACAGCCACTGAATTGTGTTAAAGGTAAATATTGCACTGATTCAGGCTTCTAACATTTCTTGGAGCTCAAGTTTTAGTAAATGTGATTATTTTTTAGCTCTGCTGTTCTAGATAATAAGCATCTTTCCAACTTTATGATGATTTATAAAGTGGTTAATTGAAGACAGAGGTACATAGTTATAACGATGAGATTCAAAGTTTTATTAGTAATGTGAGAAGTGTTGGAAACTGTAACTAAAAGGCAGAAAAAAAGGGATTATGGAAATGAGACATGGGAAAAATATAGGAAAACTTTTTTATTGCTTGTGTGCATATGAATAACTCAGTTATTCTTGGAAAGAATCATTGTATTGGGGATGGGGAGGAGAGAGGCAGCAGTACTAAAACTTACGTACAACCTTGTAAGTAAGAACCTCACTGTATCGTTATATAAGCAAATGAATTAAATAATCCATCTAATTACCAAAAAAGTACATAAATCATCAGAAGTAAAGATTCTGTTACAAATTACTAAAGTTCCAGAAAATCTCATGTAAAAGATTACTCCCTTCTCCCCAGGAAACAACTAGAACAGCAGCAAAAATAAGGGGATTTCCCATCATAATCCAAACTTCAAAAGGAGAAAAAGGGAAAAAAGTCCACTGGATGCACATTTCTACTCATAGCGTAAATTCAGGAAGACTAGATATAAAGAATTTCAGTCCCTGAAAAGGCACAGTGGGGAACAGTAGAAGGAACTAGAAAAATATTTTCCAACACAAGAGTGTCAAAGCTAAGTTAATCATTAGCATAGTACTGTATTTCACATATAAATGTATGTGAGCAACCCAGCAAATATAAGAAAATGTTGCTTCACCATCTTCATTATATGTGGGTTTCTGGATAAGTTAAAAAAAAATAAATCAAAGCATCACAGGGGTAGAAAACACCTTGAGTCGTCTAGCCCAAATTCCTACCTAACTTTCATTATTCCTTATACCACCTCATGTAGATTCCTGTCAAGCCTCTTCCTGAAAACCTTTAACCTCTTTAGTTTTTGAAAATCCTTACAATATGGTGCCAAATCTGGGCATAGTACTTCAGATAAGGCCTAACAAGTACATAATAGATTATGCAACACACAGAAAGTGATTTGAATTCGTTGGCATATTCAGTAAAGTCTTAAGAAATATATTTGGCACTGCAGCAGAAGCATACAGCTAGTATTTGTGACATTTCCTTTTAATACAAGCATGGAAAGTTAAATACTCAATATATCACAGTAGCTAACACAAATTCATCTATCCCAAACAGCATTCAAAACACTGACTTTCAAAAACAAGTTATTTATCAAAATAATTTTAGTTCACATTCTAGACCAAGGCTCAACATATGCCACATTTAGAAACTCAATAACCAAAAATGTCACGGCACATTGTATTCACTGCATTAATTTCTAATCTTCTGGTGTTTAGTAGAAATTGCTTTAATGATTTCTGTGTTAGGGTCCTCAGTTTTCTTCTTTTTGACATCATTTAATTTCCTGTAACAGACATTTATCTTCATATTCAATATTCATACTTGCATTTCTCTTCAAAAAGAGAGGCCCCTGTTTTATGTATAACTTAAGCATTAAAAGAAAGCAATTTATCCTTGTTTATATAAAACTAAGTCTTCCAGAGAACATCACAAGGATGAAATCCTAAAGCTTCTGTAGATTTATGTGCCTGAGATTTAATAAAACGCACTAGAAAATAATCAGTTTTGCATATAAAAACTACTTTTTTCCTGGAAAAAATACTGGGATAACATTTTAAAATATACAGAGGGGTGAAATGATGCAAATTAAAATGTACCATTCTGGATCTGATTGAAGAATCAAACAAATCTTAACTACACAAAATGTCTGTTCTTAATGCTTCGAAATAAAAAACATTCAGATAAGCATCTGAACTACTGGGTATTCATCTACATCAAAACCATTTGAGGCATCCCCATCACTTCTTATGAACAGAAGTTACACTGACTATGCCACAATGAATTTTAATTTGTTATCCTAGAGTTGCAAAGGCAGATGAACAGATACAGTGGTGTAACTAAGGCAGTTGTCTCAGACACCAATCTGGGTGGGGGATAGGGGAACAATCTCTGCTGCTGTGTGACTACAATAAAGATCCTATGGCAGGGCAGCAACCAGAAGCTACCCTGTGTCTATAAGCTGCCCTCAGCACCTAGCCGTGTTATTTTTAGGCCTGCGCGAAGTGGCTAGTATTCACTTCAGATTCGGCCAATTCAGGGGACAGTGATTTGATTCGGTAATTCAAATCACTGTCCCGATTTGATTCAGCTGAATGCCGAATCTCTGAATCAGCCAGGCCAGGACTATCCCCCACCCCCT